TTTTCTTTGACTAGGAGACACATATGAAAAGAGAGAACAAAAGGATGACTGTGAATAAAGAACATACTACTGGCTAAAGCAGTGACCAAATTTTCACAGAATTAAACGGGAAGCATCTGATAGTTAAAATAAATACCACTTAAAATATGAAGTAACTTTCAAGATTCTTTTTTTTTTAATGTTTATTTATTTTTGAGACAGAGAGAGACAGAGCATGAACAAGGGAGGGTCAGAGAGAGAGGGAGACACAGAATCTAAAGCAGGCTCCAGTCTCTGAGCTGTCAGCACAGAGCCCGACACGGGGCTCGAACTCACGGACTGTGAGATCATGACCTGAGCCGAAGTCCGCCGCCTAACCAACTGAGCCACCCAGGCGCCCCTCAAGATTCTTAAAAACAAAACCCCTCATGCTCACTATATATTTGCTAGACACATATCACATAAACAAATCAACACATTCCTCTTCTCATGTGACTCATTAGTGGGACATTTGGAAATGTAGGGATGGAATGTCATCGGTAGCTTTTATAGCATATTCTATCTACAAAACACTCTATAATAATTTATCAGCCAGTCAGTGGTAATCAGAGCAGAGATGGCTATCGACCCAAACACAGATGAGTCTAAGAGTTCAAAATAAGAGAATATTGAAATAAATGCCAGGAAGAATCAATCTCTTAAGAACCAGGAAGTGCTACTTCTAAAGATTCACAAACTACTAATAGAATCAGCTGTTTCTAGGAAACACGTTTGGAAATAATCCTTTTGACATTTTTATGTCTGAAATATACCCTTACATGTAGTTTGTAATCAGGCAAGTGAAAATGAAAAATTACCACAATATGTATATAATAGAACAATTGCATGTTGTAAAAGAAAGAAAGAATGATAATGTAATGATAAGGATATACAAAAAGAGGACTATCAGTATGAAGTCTTGAAAAGAGAGGTTTGGTTTTATCGATTTTTATCAAGCATGGTACAAAAAAAAAAAAAAAATGAGACACACACACACACACAGAATTTCTCAGAGAAGCAGAGCTTGGTGAAGCAGGGGGCCCCATCTGAAAACTCAAGATCATCCAACTCCCTTGGTTTCATTTCATGTTCATTAAGAATCTTATGATTTTGGTTTCCTAGGTATCTGAATTCTGGAAAGGGAAGAGGAAATCTTTATCACTGGAAATATTAGACTTCTATTATAATTAAACATTGTTGATAGAACTGTAAATAGTTCATCTTCTGATGGTAATTTGAAAATGCTTTTCAAAATAAATAATGCACTTACTCTTTGACCCAACAATTCCACTTCTAGGTATTTATTCTATAGCTATGCAGGTACAAGATTATGGAGAACACTCATTGCAATATTGTTTGTAGTACAAAAAGATTATTAAATAAGCTAAGTGTCCACCGATAGGGGGTTGGTTGTTTAAAAATGTATCAAACATCAAAGATGTATTATGCAACTATTAAAAATGGAAGTAACTCTGTCTATACTGATATTAATGATATCTAAGGTACGTAAGTGAAAAAGGTGAAGAGTGTTATCTTTTTAAAAAGAACACACGCACTGCTGTTTGTAAATTTATAGAATTCTCTGGGCAAATACCTAAGAAACTGACATACAGGGTTGCCTCTAAAGAGAAAAACTGGAGGCCACAGGAGGGTAGACATTTTTCATTTTATACCTTTTTCCTATTATTTGAATTTGAATTATTTACTTTGTGCGTATCTTAGCTATTTAAAAACAAAAGAACTGGGGGCGCCTGGGTGGCTCAGTCGGTTGAGCGTCCGACTTCAGCTCAGGTCACGATCTCACGGTTTGTGAGTTCGAGCCCCGCGTCAGACTCTGGGCTGGTGGCTCAGAGCCTGGAGCCTGCTTCCGATTCTGTGTCTCCCTCTCTCTCTGCCCCTCCCCCATTCATGCTCTGTCTCTCTCTGTCTCAAAAATAAACAAACATTAAAAAAAAAATTTTTTAAAAAAGAACTGTATTGTAAACTAACGAAATAGCAGCTGATCCAACCTGCCCCCCTGTAAGTTTCTTAGCTCACTGATTCAGAAATGGCTATCACTGAGTGGCAAGACTCCTAGACCTAATGTCTACACCAGGGAGCCACGTAACTCAGCCCTTGTGCAGGATCCTTGACACAAATATTCTCACTTCATTTTATAAGAATTCCTATTACATGTAGGATAGATGAGCTGAGATGTATAATATAACTTCAGAGGCCAGTAGTCAAAAAGCCAAGTATTTTCAGGGTGCCTGGTGGCTCAGTCGGCTAAGCATCCAACTTCAGCTCAGGTCATGATCTCACGGTTCCTAAGTTCGAGCCCTGTGTCAGTCTCTGTGCTGACAGCTCAGAGCCTGGAGCCTGCTTCCGATTCTGTGTCTCCCTCTCTCTCTGCCCCTCCCCCGCTCACGCTCTGTCTCTCTCCCTCTCAAAAATAAAATAAACATTAAAAAATTAAAGAAAAAGCAAGTATTTTCATTTAATTCTCTCACTCTTGGGGTTTGCTTCTTCTATTATATGAAAATGATGACCAAGAGGTTGTTTTACACTGGATGGATGTGCTGAAATCACTTGTTATTGCATAAAGGATCAAAATAGTTTACATAGGAAAGGGTTAAATTAAGATCATTCATAATCAAAGTGGGGAAAAGTAGCTGTGTCAGGACTGAATTCATATACTCCCCAGTGCTCTGGGACATGCACAAAGTAGAAGCCGATTTGAATTTGACTTTCATTTGAGTTTTTAGTTTAGAGTCTGATACAGTATCTTTATACACTGGTTTGTCTGATCCAGTGGGTGAATGTCATCTACGAAAAGTCAGGCAGACAAGATAATTTCCTGCTTGTCAGAGAGGGCTCAAACTACATAATTGTTAAGTATTTCTATGACTTTTTATGATACTAAAATTATAATAAACTGCCTTTCAATTAAAAAGTCAAGGTAATTTGGTAGAACAAATACAATGCTGATGCAGAGTTTTTTCAAAGAAGTTAATAAAATTTCACAGGCCCACAATTCAAACTGCAAAAAACAAAGTCCTGTGCAACACAGAATACAGTTACAATGGATGTATTTCAAGAACACAAATTGGATCATAACCCTGAAACTACTACCTCCCCCACTCCTGCTCCCAATGGCAAACCAAGTCAGTTAACCTTAGGGACATAAAACTACGTATAAATACATTTTTAGTAA